GGCAGACTGTGAGTTGTCAAATGGTTATTTGAATATGTAAGGAAAACTCCAAGAACTACAACTAGGAGGGGAAATAAGATATTGGGGAGGTATATTTGGTTCTGTGTTCTAACTCTTGATGGTTTTCTTTGGGGAATCAAAAGTAAAATTTTAAGTCTGTCATTTTGTTTCTAAACAGGGGTTAATAGTCAACAGAAGAACGATGGCCAGCAGGTTATGCAAAATCCCTCAGCCCTGACTGTTGATGCATTCTGAAATGTGACTGCAATAATAATTATTTTGACTATTTTGCATGGTACAAAAAATACCCGGCCGAAGGTCCCACATTACTGATATTTATATGTTCAGTTGTGGAAAACGGTAAAAGTGGAAGGCTCACTGTCTTCCTCAGTGAAGCTGCCAAGCACCTCTCTTTGCATATTGCAGCTTCTCAGCTGGAAGACTCAGCTACATACTTCTGTGCAGCAAGTACACTGTACTTCTGTGCTGTACAGGGACACACAGCCTGCACCCAAACCTGCAACTGGGGCCCACGTGGGCCCTGGTTTAGGGTTTCAGAGGTGGAGCCACCAAACCTGCTTCTATTACATGTAGCAGTGTGAGACAGAATGTGTTAAAGTACGTGAAATTAGTTGCACTCCAAAGAAGGCTTCAAAAATAAATCAGGAGAATTCCCTGACATTCAGATCCTCCGTAAGTGACTGTTCTCTTTACTCCTTTCAGAGAGAGAAGCTGCTTATTCTTTGCTTTCACTCCTGAAATAAGGACACCCTGTGGTCTGCACCTAAGGAGAAGGAAATCTGGGTCTGAAATGGAAAAACACAGGCTCACTCCACTGCTGCAAGTTGTCCTAGTGCATGATTTTGCACTTTCCAGAGTGCTGACTCCACGTCTCAGTTTTGTAGCACAGTGGGAAAATTAAACTACATTTTATCTTGTTTGTTAACTTTTCTCTAATTGGACTTATGCTTGGCTTATTTGGTTTGGGCCTGGTATGCAATTCAGTCTTCAATTCTCAAAGTGTATTTGTACCTTTTGGTTTCACGTTAGCCTTAATTGATAATTTCATTATTTTCACATTGTCTTCTATGACTGAGATATTCTAATCTATTATAAAATATATGTACCTATGTTAATAATCTTTAATATATATTAATAAATAAAAGACATGCATATGCTACAATACTTTATTTTGAATAAAGTAATAACAAGCTTTAACAAATATTATGTTTTATATTATGCTTAAAATTTACTGTGAATATAATATACTTCTCCTTTTTCATTTTTTCTAAATTTCTATTTTATGCATTATATAACATTATCTTTTACTGACAATTTTCTCATGCTAACTTAAAATTGCATTATGTGTTGTTGGTTAAAGAGACAAAATTTGTTGTAGTGCCATCTTCTGTTTCTCTTGTCAAAATGAGAATATTTTGTTAGTGATATTTTATAGATATATTTTTTTAAGCTCATAAAGATGTTAAACTACATTGCAAATTCCATATCAATAGGCAGTATTTCTCCCTTTTAAATTAATGTAAATCCTTAGACATTATTTTATCAATCTCTTTCTTAATATTTTTAGGAAACTGAATTCTTTTTTTATATTAAAATAATTTCACTAAATTTCAGATTTGTCCAGATTGTGTAAAAATATGTTGAAGATTATGTTTCACTGTCGCATAGATTGTATTGCTGCTTTCAAAAATAGTTTTTACTTGGTGTTTCTCTATCTGCCTATGGACTCTGATTTTTAAGTATTCCATGTGTATATGTACTACATTTCTTTAAACACTCATCAGTTGATGAACACGGATTCTTTCTATTTCTTGGCTACCATGGATAATGCTTTCTACAACATGAGACTACACACATCTGTGACACACTGGATTCATTTTCATTGGTTGCATACCCAGTAGTGATATTGGTGTTTCACAAAGTAGGTTTATTTTCAAATTTTTAGGAAAATTCCATACCATTTTCATAATGACTGTACTAATATACTTTCCTACCAACGATGTGTAAAGGTTCTTTCTTCTCCACATCTTCATTAGCATTTGCCTTTTGTATTTTTGGTAAGAACCATTTTTTTTTGGATAGCAGATAAAATTTTTTTAGGGGCACACTTAGTTTACCCCTGAGTTCTAACTACTGTGAATAGGAAGATTACAAAGACTTTTGTCTGTGTCTTTAGAGGACGTGAGCATTCATTTCCATTATGTATGATGGAATTGCCCAAGAGTGAAATTTGGGTCATAATATGTGCATATTTACCTTTAATACATACTAACATACCTTTCTCATAGTAGCGGTAAGAATCCATAAATCCCACACTAACTTGGTAGTGTTTGCTCTTTAGACATTGAGAATTTGGCCTTTCTTTCCATTTGTTTATTTTTTCCTGAATTAAGATTGTTTACTAAAAATTATTTGCTGTGCTGGGGGTCAATCTCAAGACCTCATTCATGCTAGAAAAGTGCTCTATCACTGAGCTACAGCTCTAGAGCTTTCTTCCCATTTCTTTGCTAAGACCTTTTGAGAAGAACCACTTAACTACTCTCATGTTTGTTTCTACGTCTGTTGTCAAGTGACATCAATTCATTCTCCAAGTCTTTTTTCATCTCTCCATTATTTTTTCTTCCCCTTATTCTTAAATGTACACCTCTCCTTGAAATGTGAAATAGATGAGAAAATAACACGTTAGAAAGTTTCCCTTGTCAGTTAGGTGTGGGTACCATGCAACTCACTCTGCCTGACTCAGGAGCAGAGCTATCCGGCGGTGTCTACCTAGAAGATGCTAGAGACACCATTTTGTTCTAGGTTCCAGTGTGTGAGACCTGATCCTTGGATGACTTAGTTTTTATCCTGAGTCAAAGTTTATCTCCTTCCATCACACTGTTCATGGCCATGTTAGATAACGATGAAGATATTTTTGCCGTATGTGTGATAGATAGTCTCTTCCACCACTTTACCTGCTTTTAGCCTAATATTAATTATGGTAATATTTGACCAAGCTATTTGGTTATTATAGTTTATATAGACAAGCAAAGATATTCTGAGTATGATTTTAATAGCACAGGATGGAATAATAAGAATCAGCAAGTGGAGCTATATCAAATTTAAATTTCTTGCACAACAAGGAGAACAACTAAAGAAGCACAGAAAAAGCCTATACAATCTGGGAATTTTTTTGCCAGCTACTGTTCTAACAAGGGAGTGATATGTAGAATATAAAAATCACTCAAAAAACTCAGATCAAAAAATCCAGTAGCCCAAATAATAAATAGGCAAATGGATTAAATAGACACTTCTTAAAAGGAGAGGTATTAATGGACAATAAATACATTAACATATTCAATATATTTAGTCATTAAGTAAATGAAAATTTAACTGAAATTAGATAATTCCATTCCGATCAGAATCACTATTATCAAGAATATGAAATGTGACAAATACAAGTGAGGAAGTGAGGGGAAAGAAACACTTGCACTCTGCTGTTGGAGCTGGAAATAACTGTACCCACATTGGAAATTCATCAGAAAATTAAAAAAAAAAAGAACTGCCATTTTATCCAGCTATATCACAGCATGATACACATTCAAATGGATTAAAGTCAACATTTATAGGGACACCTGCACAGTTCAGAACAGCTGAGATATGGAACCAGGCTAGGTGTTGATCCACAGATGAATGGTTAGAGAAGATGTGGTCTATGCACACAGTGGAGGATCATCCCCCCAGAAGGAGAATGACAAGTCATTTGCAGGATAAGAGATGCAAGTAGAGATCATCATGGTAAGTGAAATGATCCAAATTCAGAAAGAATCACATGCTCTGCCTAATATGTGGAGCCTAAATCATGACATGAAAGAGAAGAGTCTATTATTAAACAAGGAAAAGGAACATGGAGGAGAAGAGGCAGGTATAAGGGTTCTTAATGGATGGAGACATGGGCAAAATATAGCTTCAACACTGAAACTCAATATTTTGCCAAATTAGTAGGCACTAGTAAAAATTTATGAAAAAAACAAAAATGTGACATGCACTCAGGAGAATATTGCTATCATCTTCAAACCTCTGGAGGACCAAGCTGAGGAGAATAAAATATGTGCTTGGGATCAATTGGGACCAATGAAAAGAAGTTCCTGGAAACCAGAGTTCAGCTTCAGCTATAAAATCAGTGAGTGACTCTCTGTCCTCTTTATACGCCACGTTCTTATGATTTATCACGCTTTGTACTGGTCACAACAAACCCACAGATGAATTTCATTATTCCTACTTTACTCTGAGGAAAAAAACCGAGACAAATGAATTATATAAATGGCAGGAATGTGATAAAAAGTGAGAAAGCAGATCAGAAATTGTCCCTGGGATTGGGAGGATGGGGGGTGGTTAACAGGAGGGGTCAATAAGGAGCAGGGCACAGGGCCACAAGGGAACTTTGGGGAATGGTGCAGAGGTTCATCAGCTGGACTGTGGTGGTGATTTCACATTTGTATGCCTATGTCAAAAATTATCAAGTTTTAGTTATCAAATTATATATATATATATATATATATATATATATATATATATATAATACCAAAGGTGCTTAATAAAATAATTTTATAAAAAAAAAAGAACTGAAATAACACAGAACCAAATGAACAATTAATCTCCACTATAAAGGACAGAATTCTTTACTTTCTTTTAATTATAAAGGGAATATTTTCTCAAGCCTGGCAGAATAACCGAATAGTTTTTTTTTTTTCATAAGTGTGTGTGTGTGTGTGTGTGTGTGTGTGTGTGTGTATGTGTGTGTGTGTTGTGTATACCTCCCAGAAAAGTCATCGATTACTCAACACTTCTCTACTTAGCCAAAGGGTGGCGCTGTTTAGCTAGAAAGTGTCAGTGAGATTAAGCAGCACTGATAGCAGGCACTCAAGAGAGCTCTGTTTGGTGCAGAGCCCTGGACCAATGAGCTCAAGGAATTCCTCCTGGGGAAGCCTCTCAGCACAATCAGATTGAGCATCTCTGCTGCAGAGTGGAGACATGGAGACCCTCCTGCACGTTCTCCTGGGGATTCTCGGGTTGCAGGCAGCCTGTGAGTCTGTGCTTCCTCTGGGAGTTATGAGATGACCACTGCTTCCCAAGGGCAGGCACGAAGTCGTCTTCTGTCTGGGGAAGGCCTTCTGAGAACTAGAAGATGTTAAAAAGAAACACAAATAGTATTTTCTGGGTTGCAGTGATGGTGTTACTGTCTGGGGCATGTGAGAGGAGGAAGAGAGTCACCGTCTTACTATGATCATGAAGATCTTATGGGTGTTTCCTATATTTCCTTACCCTGCCCTTTGAACAGGGGTCAGCAGCCAAGAACTGCGGCAGAGTCAGTCTCTGGTGATTCCAGAAGGAGAAGAGCTCACGATAAACTGCAGTTCATTAACAGTTTTATTCGCCTTACACTGGTACAGACAGACTGATGGAGGTCCTGTCTTCTTGATGATGTTACAGAAACGTGGAGATGAGAAAAGCCATGGAAAAATAACAGTTAACCTGGATGAGAAAATGCAGCAGAGCTCGCTGCGCATCACAGACGCCCAGCCCAGCCACTCAGGCACCTACTTCTGTGCAGGAAGTGCACAGTGATCTCCGTGCCTCTGAGGGCTGTCCCCAAACCTGCAGCTGGGCACAGATGCTGTGTTGAAGCAGGGCTCCTGAGAGGTGGCAGGGATACTTGCTAAAAGAAACCTTGAAATCAAGGGAATTGTCTCCTTGACAACAAAAAAGGGAAGTAACAAAGAAGAAGTAGGAATAATAAAAAGGGGAGATTATTGTTTAAGAACAAATTTAATTTCATTTTATTGTGTTGGTTATGTCACGTTTCAGTCACTACAACAGCAAGGGGGGATGAAAATGGCATGAATTTCAGTAATTTATGTAATAATGCATATATTTTGTGCCTCTGTTGTCCCAAGGAGCCTGATTCCTGTCTTATTTTTCCCCTTGGTTCATCAAAAAGCACTCTAACTCATTCTTAGGTTCTCTACACCCTGCTGAGACTGTGCCTTAACTGTTGCAGTAGGAAACCTGCTGCATGCTGGGAGAATTCGCAGGCAATACTTTTTCTAAGTTTATGTTACAAACATAAACTTTATGTAGAATTAGGAAAGAGGCGATCAGACCTAGTGATATGAATAAATGCCTACTTATAGCTTGGATTGATCTCCAGTTCTCACTCTGCTTTCGTGTATGTTCTGTTCTGTTATTTCCTTGAGTACCAGATGGAAGCTGATTTCTAGTCTGTTCTATTCTGTTCTATGACAAAGTCAAGATTCTCTTTCATGCTCTGCTTTTACACCCTGTGTAGTCATTTGAAGAACTGAGAAGATCACAGGATAAAGAGAAACATTACCCTGTTTTTAGCGAATCTAAAACATGCCAGAAATTAGCCCATTCTGGATTTTGCAAATTTTGTGAGGTTGAGCCAACATCACACCTGTGTTCTAAGTCACAATAGATCTCTAAGTCATTACTCCCCTCTTAAACTTCTCCTCCTTTGCTTTGTGGTTGCCAGGTATTTCATTTCAGCGATGAGAAGGTAACCAAGAAGCTGTTCCATCTTAAACTGGATGCACTCACACTATTCTGCTCATGTCAGGATGAAGCAAGGCTATAGAATACGTATGTTTTCTATCTGACTGTGAGCCATGTTGTGATCCATCTTTATTCAAAATAGTATTTTCAGTATTAGTCAAATAATAATGTCAAGTCAACCTTATTCTTTGTTGTTTACATAATCTCTTTGTTGTTTACATAAGGACTATAACTTATGTTAACATGAGGTGGGTTGTGTGTATTGTTTATCTCCTTGCTCTCAGGCACTCCAACAAATAGATGTTATTCACTTTTCAGATGAATTTGATCTCAGAGATTGAATCACATGCTCAAGGTCATTGAATTTGGAATTAAAAGACCTTACATTTGAGTTGACATGTCTGCTTCCAAACATTTACTTTTTCTCTTCTACTGCTTGAATTACAGTGTAACTTTCATTAACTTTCTAATGCACCAATTGGTTCCTTGGTCTCTTTTTTCATGGAGAACTTTTGCTAATAGAATAAAACCTGAACCACATGGACCATTAGTCAGCGAGTCTAGTGCACATAATGTACATAAGATTTCTTCCTGATGTCAGCCTGCCAGACACAAATGAAACCATCCCCAACTGAGCCCAGGATGTTCTAAAACCCCTTGTGGGTACATCTCTCAGATTCATGGGAGCGAGGAGAATTACACAGCATTGTAGAGGAAAAATAGTCTGTGAACTCATGAAGGAAAACTCTTTAAAACTGGAAATCTAGAGCAACCCCTGGAGTCCAGGACTGCTCTGGAGATATGATGGGTGTGACACAGCGCTCCATCTACTTGCTTGTTTCAGTGGTTGTCACTGAACAGGTTTCTCACAGTTCTGGTCACTTGCCAGAAGCCTGGAGCAGGTCTCACTTTGCACGACCTCTGCAAAGAAGCATGTGAGGAAAAAAAAAAAAAAAAAAAAAAAAAAAAACAGAGCATAGACATTGTGAGCTGAACTTACATGCTGAAGCCCTGACCCTAATGTGGCTGTGTTTGTAGAGAGGACCTAAAAGTAATTAAGCTGAAAGGAGCTCACAGGGATGAGACCTGATCTGATAGGACTGAGGAATCCTGATAAAGAGGCACCACGAACTCCAGAAAGCACTCTTTCCCTCCTCCAGTATCGCTCCCTCTCCTTTTCTCCCTCTCTCCTTCTCTGTTCTTTTCTTTTCTCTCTTTCCTCTCTTTTGTTACACTCACTTTGTCAGCATTAAGAGAAACTGTGAGAAAATGAAGTTCTGCTGTTCAGGGCACCGGCTCTGTGGTGTTTGTTATGGCCCGGCTAGGAATCTATCACTTTAAATAATTCTGCTCCTGATTCTACTAAGTGACCTTCAAAGTTGTGGTCACCAAGTCTTCCTGAGAGAATGTTTACAGTCCTACAACTATTGGTTTTCTTGAAATTATACTGAAAAAAACAGTACTCCCATATTTACTTCACATTTTTATTGAGGTTCCTGATAGAAATCTTTCTTTTCGTAGAAATTTAAATGGAAATAATCTTCTTTTTAAGGAAGGATTTTCTTTCTGAATAGGATCACTAGAATAATTTGTTACCCTTGATTCTTTTAATTCCAATTAGGTGATCATCCAAACAATTAATTAGCATGCACAGCAACTGTATCACTTAGGATACTGTAGCTTACAAAGACCTAAATGAGTTTCCCCAGTAGATTCAGTGCTTTTTAAAATTCCTACCAACTGCGCTAACAGCCCAGTGACTCAATATCCTGAGAGCTCTGGGCTTATAGGCCCTTGTGTATGTGAAATTTCTCTGCACTCTCATATTCCGTATGTAAAATCCATCTTGTAACATATCCTCATTCATTTCTACACTAAAATACGTAAAGTAGATGTCTCAAAAATTATGTCATGTTCTTCTAGACCTTAGTGCTACCCTTCACACCCTGCTACTCATTACAGTGAGCTTTAGGGGTAGAAATGTCTGCCCAGCGTTCTGATGGACACAGGAGGGCTTTAAATGCAGACACTGAAGCAGTGGGCACCTAGAGGAACTGGAGCGACTGCCACCATTGCTGAGGCTGCTTTGAGGCAGTGGGTGCGGTAGGGGGCCTGTTTCCTGCCCTGCAGATTGGACAGGGGCAGGAATCTCAGGCCCGGCTTCTCTACATCATCCTTGCTTGGTTAAGACAGTTTCAGAGTCTTGCAGGTGTATTTCATAGTGAAGAAGTCCTGAGCTTTTACTGTTTTAAAAATATATATCTGTGTAATAAAATATTGCAGTCATGAAAATGAAAAAGAAATGTAAAAATATTCATTTTTACTTAGTAGAGAACAGTGATTCACACTGCACAGTAGGAATAAAGCAATAAGCAAGGTAAACACACACACACACACACACACACACACACACACACACACAAACGTAAGTTACGTTTAGACAAACCCAGACAACTGAGAAAACTGACAATGAAACTAGAGGAAAAAGAAGGATGCTCAGGGTATTGGATATAGATCTTCTGCACCCCTAAAACAGAAGACCACAGTGAAGCACACTGTGAAGCGCTGGCCAGGATGCAGTGGGAACTCAGGGATACAGATGGAGATGGAAGCAGGGACGCATTTATTTGTCCCTCAGCCACCTGGCAGGTGGAGCCCTGGGTTTAATCCCCAGGACTAGAGAAAAAAGCAGCAAACGAGGAAGAAAGGGAATTGCTAATCTTGATATTATTTTTATTCTTCCAAAAAATCCTCTAAAATTCCATCCATTGATACCCAGATTTGGCTACTATTTCATTTTATATAATTTATAAAAGTCGTGATACTCACATCCCTGTGTTGAAAAACAGTGCTAAGTTTCTTAGTGCATTACCCTGTTGGCATCTTTTTCTTTTCATCTTGCCTTTACCATTTATGTGAAAAGTTCTTTTTTTAATGTCTAGTGATCTTGGGGTGCTCATTCATAAATAATGAGATAGGAATCTGCAGTGGAAGCAAAGGAAGACGGCTTCAGTCTCTCTAGCTGTAAGTATTTGCCTCACTTTATTCTCAGCTAAATCCAGTATCTAAAATGCTTATGTTTCTATCCCTAGTATTGCAGCTAGAACTTTCTTCCAGGAAAGTGGTCAAGAAACACAGGATACCTGGTTTTCCAGATCAGATGGGAGCTGTAAGTGTCACTATACTGTACATAACTGTACGTTCACTCTCCCCACTCCATTTAATGTTCTCAGCCTCCATCCTCTGCTCTGACTTTCTGAGGAATCAGGTGCCCTTTCTATTGACAGGACACCTGGTAGGACACCTGAATTTCTGTTGCGTTTACATAGTGGAACTTTGAGATTCATCTTTATAATTTTTTAACTTTTTATTCTTTCCAATTGGATCTCAGAAAGGAGCAGAGAAAAAAATATACCTTCAATTCACCATATTCAATCATGGGGTTCTAAACTAACTTTCCAGAGATATATAGGTTACAGAGCAGATTTCCTGTCTGTCTTGTTTGTGTGCCTGTACTTCCCATGCACATCATGGGTACAGATAAAGTGTTCACCAAATGATGAAGAGAAACAGAAGGATTATGAAATGCAACTTTGAAAGCAGGTCAGGAATGGCTCAGAGGATCAGAATCTACTGTCTTGCCACAGGGACGCAGTATCTCCATGCATAGTTAACTTTGAAGGGTAGCTCAAAGCCCTGGGGAAAGCTCAGTAAGACATTAAATTGACTGATACACAAAACAGGTATCTTGACACTACCATGGTATTCAAGTTACTGCTCCAAACCAAGAGGAGCTTCTTGCAGCAGAAGAACCATTTACGAAATAATTACTTGTTGGTGGAAATGCTCCTTGAAGTCTTACTAATGATCCTGTGGATTCAACTATCATGGGAGTTTTGGGGGGTTTTGATTTTTTTTTTCTCAGAGAATTCTCAAGAAATGGCTGCTCTCTGAAGGCAAGGCTTTACCCCAAAGTCACAAAGATGAAAATTTAGAGGAGGGAGGAAAGGAGAAGCATGGAGGCAGGGCTGGGAAGTTGAGAGACATAATTATTATCTCTAAGTCTTAGAAAAGTCATTAAAACACATATTAACCACCTTCTTTGACCTTCCTAATCAGCGGTGTGTAGTCAACAGCTGAATCAGAGTCCTTAGTCTATCTCCATCCAGGAAGGAAAGGATGTCTCCATGAACTGCAGTTCTTCAAGCACATTTAACAACTTCTTGTGGTACAAAGTGGGCCCTGCAGAAGGTCATGTGCTTTTTCCAACCTTATAGAAGAGTGGTAACATGACGAGAAATGGGAAATTGACTGATCAATCAGGTGGAACAA